GGTAGATTGCAGCAGAATGATGTATTGTCCATTCAAAAAAAGAGCTGTCACGTGTCAGTCTGTCAGTTCAGGCAGGATGTCAGCATGAGGATGACAGTGCTGCCTTGACAGAAGACAGGTACAGTAGAAAGCCCGGTAGCTGTAAAGGGTTGACAGGCAGATTCCGAATCCCTAGAGGAGGCTTAGACGGCAAGATCCATTTACTGTCAACGGAGTTTCTCCAAGTTCTTACGACACAAAGGATATATTTGCAAAAGATATGGACTCTTCCATGTACACATGGCTTCTAGGCTAGACTAGTTAAATATCTGTCAGCAGTTGCCTTTTCTTTATCTATTTTCTTCAATATGAATGAAACACCTTACAGTTTATGGACCTCACTTTGATCGTAGTCATTTTGTGCTGCTACAGGTTTTGGTTTCCATTGGTTACAGCTGCCTTCTGACTTTCATGCATCTAATAGTTTTTTAAGTACACAAACAGAATCAAAGTGTAGAGACCTAGAACATACGTCAGATGTCTCATGTACTGTTAGAGTGAACATTTTGTCAGCATTTATTCTTCTATCGTTAATGAGATTTAGCTCAACCAGCGGTTCCTTGGAACAGAGATTATCTGTACGATCTGAGGTTGTGTTTGGCTGCAGCGTAGCATTGAGCTAAATTAGTTGTTCATGAAGTGTCCTTGTGAAAACACTGGTTGGTCCACTTGTCTCTCTGTTTCTCTCTCTGGGGACTCATACAAACTGTCAGGTAAACACACTGATCTGCTTCATTGGAATAATGCTAATGTCAATCTACAATCTACACATCTGGATTCCTGCTCTGTCCTCCCAGTAATTAATATATGCTAAAGACACCATATGCTATATTTTTATATTGTACAGTGTTTATGGGGCCATAAAGTCCCATATAGTGTAAAGGTGGATGTCCATGTGTTGTTTGATTATAAAGCAGGTCTAGGTTCTATATTAATACTGTGAAAGTATCAAAGCCTCAGTCCACAGATTAATGCACACACCCTGTATTCAGAAACTGATCCTTAAAACCAGCCGTCAGGACTTCTGTAACTTTGTGATGTCACAACAAAGCAGTCACAACTCTCAGCCATGCACCAAGTCCTGCCCATCTGGACCCACCATCCAACCTTGGAGGATTTGGTTTCTCTGAGTGTTTACCTCAAATCTACTATATTCAGAAAACAGTCAGCCAATCAGAAGAGAGGCTCAGAGCCTCCTCTCTTCTGATTGGCTCACTGAGTTGTTGTTACTAGAGCTCCAGAGAGAAGCCTGAGAGAGGAGATGTAAAACTACATGTAGACGGTTTTTGGTTCTTAAAACCACAAAGATATCTTCTCACGGATCAACACTTCAAATAAAACACAGGAGAAGAGAAAAATATGGGACCTTAAGAAAAAAAAAGAAAAAAAAAAGTAATTTTAGGTCGATAATTAGAGAAATTGTGGTTCAAAAGCGAATAGCGTGAAATGTTGTAATACGTGGTAATCCTCATTTTTCACATGATGAGTAGAGAGTGTCTCACGGGTGAGATGAGTCATATGACTTTAAGATCTGTAGTGAAACCTTTAGTATGCCAGGGAGGTAAATGTCAGATCACAGTCAGACACAAAAAAAAAAAGGCCAGAACACACACACACTCTTGCTCACTTTCAGTTTCACTCTCAGAAACACACACACATAGATACAGGCAGGCAGCTCTCACAGTTTTCTGAAGCTGGTTGATGCAGATGACAAATGACAACCTTGGCATTACTCTACTCTCCACAAGATGTCAGATTCTGGGCTCTTTGATTTCCTGTACTCTTCTTTCCTGAAAGAGGGATGATCCTGAAAGGAAAAATGGATCTTGAAGAATAAGAGTTTATTGATCGCTACAGGGAGTAGATTCCCTCTGAAGGAACATTTTCTTTCTGCAGTGGGTCTCGGCCAGTCTGTCAGTTAACGGGAACACAACAACACTAGCATCTATTGGATGTGTTAACAGAGCGTCCTTGACCACAGTGTTTACATGCTAATATTTAAACATACACCAGACAATAGCGTCACACACACAAACACACACACACACACACACACACACACACACACACACACACACACACACACACACACATTAGTAAGCCATACACATGCAGAACTAAGTTGCGCCATGGCAGGCATCAACCATTGATGGCATCTCGTGCGCACACACACACACACACACACACACACACACAACACCACACACACACACACACACACACACACACACACATCGACCGTATTTGTCAGCCCAGAGGTGTCCAGGATATTGACCTCCAGTTGCCACCGCTGGAAGTCAATATAACTGTCAACCGGCAAACAGCATCCACTGTCATGGCAACAGGGGTTCTGACACACACACATGCACATAAACAAAACGTGAGGTGGATATAGTGATTAAAAAAAAAACTTTGTTGTAATACTACTGATGACTTCTTCAGTTGAGCTTTTAGAGAAAGAAAATGTTCAGGATGTCTCCAAGCTACTTAATTACTCTACATCTTATGGTAACAAGGTTCATATTAAGTGGTCTATATAGATTTTTTTCATGTTTGGATATTCTTGTGTGCCCCCCTTGTTTTTTGCTCTGTGAGCGGTGTTGTCTGAAGATGGTCAGGTTGGTTGATTTCCCTTATTTTAGGTGTTCATGGTCCCCAGATGAGTAACCCCACCTATAACATAATATTGGTAATTATAGTGGTAGTTTTTAGGTCATTAAGACTTTTTGTTTCGTCAAACTCAATTCACAAACACCTTGTTAAATCAATATGTCGTAGAGTCGATTAAATGAATTGTCACGTCCCCTTCGAACAACCAGTGGAACAGTAAACATGAAGCTATGTTGTGCATCTTTTCCCAGAGCTTCATTCAAGTCTGATCAGTGAGATATTCTGTGTGATAGACAGAGCAGGGCCTGGTACGTTACAGTGGTTGACCTAAATGAACTCCAGCTGAGTTGTTGACTTTGTCCCACTCTCGGTGGTATGAATGCACAGTCAGAGAGGAAAGAGAGAGCAAACACATAATCCATAATCCATAGCTGCCAGTGTGCAGTGAAAACAGAATCAGCTTTCCACAGTTACAGGATGTGAAAAAGCTTGGGATATTTCGCAGGAGGCGAATCACACGGCTCGTGTCTGTACACCTGTCACAGCGCACAGCTGCTCTGTGTGTTTTGTTGAGATGATGTTGCTTTACTTTTTCTTCTTTTTACACTCACGTTGTGTCATTTGGCTTCAGGTCAAAGAACGCTTTGTGTGCATGAAAGTGCGTTTGTGTCCTAGTGTGTGTGTGTGTGTGTGTGTGTGTGTGTGTGTGTGTTATATAATACTCCATAAGAGAGCACTTTTTTCCAAGTAGTTTTTATGTTCTATTCTTTCTATTTTTGTCTGTAATTACACAGACTAATGTTAAAATCAACATGTTGCTATTCCACAAGCCACACACACACACACACACACACACACACACACACACACACACACACACACACACACACACAAGCTTATGTCCTGGAAGCACGGAGGCAGAGAGGATATTGTAACAAGCATCCGAAAAAATGTTGGTCCAACAAGTGAGACAAGGCTCCCGCCTGAATTAAAGAGGATTATCTCTCTTAATTTATGCTAATTAATGCACACAGAGTAACGAGAGCAGCATGTTATTGTGTGAATGAAGCCTGTCTCACACACTCCCGCTCTCACAAACATTTACGAGCTTCCACGGCTGTGTGTTATTCCACCATTGAAGCCTGTTGCTTGTGGAACTACACTCATTCTTTTTCACAACACACACACACACACACTAACTGAGTATTATGCCATTGTGTACTTCATGGGAATCTTGTAGTCCAACCATCACACACACACACACACACACACACACACACACACACACACACACACACACACACACACACACACACAGATTCTGCTGTGGGACCGTCCTGGCTTGGTTGGATCTACATTCTTGCTCCATTATGTGATTCTTCCTCTGCTCAGCAGACCAAAGAGGTTTCTTCCTGATTCTCCTTCAAGTAACTCAAATGAAACCTCTCATGAAAAAGCATCAAGATATAACAAGATATAGACCTGTTGACTGTCTGGTACCCAGCAGTAAGATTAGAGATGTTATTGTACCTGTTGTTTACTTCCTATGATGTCACCGCTGCTGTTTACCAGTAAGGACCTTATTTGTTATCCTTATTTCCTATCAAGCACTTGTCTTTTTATAATAATCAGGTGGGATTGTGCAAATACGATAAAACACAGCCCATCATTCCCTCTATAAATACTGTCACATGATCATCACCATAGGAATAACATTTAAGGTAACTCAGCCTAGAGCACCTAATGGTGAATATTCAGTGACAAATCTACCAGACGCTGCTGCATGGTAAAGAATTATCATTACAGGGACACTGTTGGAGATGAGGTGGTGAAACGCACATAGATACGCTATTGTTTGTAATATCAGGACAAGTTCATAGTAAACAGTGTTTTTTTACGGCAGATATTATAAAGATACCACAGGAATATCATATGAATCCCACACTGCTGCCCTGCTAGATAACAGCCACTCCATCACAGCCGCCCGCTGCAGACGCACAGTGTCCCTGGAGTAATATCATAAGAATATTACAGGAGTGATTTCCATTAAGGGCACTGGGAGGCGCGCGCGCCCAATCCGCCTCTTATTGCTATACGCGCGAGTGCGCGTCCCTAATCATCCAACCAGCCCGCGAGACTGCACTCCTCAAACCAAACCCAGCCGAACCAAGCTGAGCTGAGCCGAGCTGAGCCGAGCCAAACCAGTCCGAGCATTCAGCCCCTGCCGCCCCGCACAGAGGCAGCGGAGGAGGAACGATGACCTGGTAGCGCATCTTTACGCACCCGACCCGCCGTCCGTCCCTCAGAAACCCTCATTCTGTCTCTTTACGTTTAATTCTCACGCCGACACTATGGAGACGGCAGTTCCCAGGACCGATCTGATCATTCCCCAGCTGCTGCTATTCAGCCAAATAGGTAAGAAACTGAGAAAGAAAAAAAAATTCCCGATTGAATTGACTGTGGTGGCTGACATGTGATGCTGTGGACGTTTTGAACGCTGTCAAAGATTGAGCGGTGCGTCTGTGTTATCCCCTCGGAGATTCCGCACACTCCAGAATCTGCAGTCGGCGCCAATGAAAGGTGAATTTCACACGTAAAGATGACATTTGTTCAGACACGCATTGCCGACGTGGAAATTTGCTCCTACAATATGTTCCACGGCTGAATGTTCCCGTCCACTCAGATTTTGTTTGAAGTGAATCCTCTGCAGTGCACGCGGGGGTTTCTCTAACCATGATCTGAACATGCTGAACCATTTTTCCAAACACAAGTTGGAGTCTGAATGAGATGCAGTGTTGTGTGTGCAGTGTGACGATGCTCTGTTGTGTTCTGTGCTCCCACATCCTCTGTTGAACTTACTTGATGAAGGCGTTTATTCATGTGTTGCTGGCGTTTCCTTCAAAATCTCAGCTGGAGTTCCTGCAACAAAATCGCTCTAATTGTCCCTTTAATACATATGTTCTATACTATTCCTGTACTATACATGTAAGTTGAAAGGAATGTATGTGTTTAGTTTGGATGCTGAATATCCATTTTAAATTTACCATAGCTCTTCTTAAAGAAAAAGCTTTGGGAAATTTAAGTCCAGAAAGTTTTAGGCATGTGGCTCTAAAACTTCTCAGGAATCACCTGGTTGATTTGTTTTATACAATATATATAGGCTGCTGAAGTGTCAGCACAGCAGATGTCAAATCTCAGATCCTCCCACAGACATCCAAGAGTAGAGCTTGGTTCTAATTTGAGTAACTGGGTCGCAGATGGGGAAGTAAAATAAAAAAAAAAACAAACAAACATAATTCCTTTACATACTGTTTGTGTACTAATTCCCAAAAAGAAAAAAAACCAGCAACACACACATTGTCCTCCAGTCAGTAACAAGATGAATCATCACTTCAGGTTTCATCAAAACCAGACTAGTGGAGCAGTCTGAGATTTCCACCTGTTACTATCACCTCCTCATCAGATCAATCAGTGCAAGCTTTTAACATAATGTCATGCATGCCTTTACATAGTGAGTCCTCCAGAGAGCGCTGATGAGTCCCACTCGGTATACTATAAAAATGTTTGTTATATTTTTATGTTAAGAATATTAGCTGATGTATTGGCACCAGATTTTAAATCCTCGAATATTGATATTGGCCTCAAAAGTAGAAAAAAAAGAGCTTAATTCAAACTAAAAAGCGAGCCATATTTACAGTGTCATCAGCTAATCTATGTGAAGTTTTCTCCAGATTCAAGGACAAAGCCTTTTTCACCAAAGTTGAAAATTAAAATCAGAAATCTGTTGAGGACTTTGAACTCTCTGAAGGAGAGTCGTCTGCTTTCAGCCATCTTCAGTCCGGCTTTGGTTGACGTTTTGTTTTGACCTTTGAGAAATCAAATCGCACGCTAAAATGTCCAGCATTGATTCTTAACGAGGTTATCTTATTGTTCAATCAGAGAGCAGGAGATGAGTCTCAGGACATGACGTTCAGGAAGCGTCAGCGATCAGAGGTTTCTAAATGTTTTCGTGTCCTGAACACAAACCTGCATGTCCCCATTTGATGAGATTTTGTGTGATCAGATTAACTCAGATGACTCTGTGAGACTTTTTTTTTTTTTTTTTTAATATTCTTTGACTTGGTACAGAAATAGACAAATGGTGATAGATTTGTTGAGTGAGCTTTGTTAATGTCTTAAACTTTCTGTGGCTCCTCATCGCAGGTCTTGTTTTATAAAGTAAGTAACATTTCCCATAAACACAGCTGGCTTTGGCTTCATCTACTGTCACCAGAGCAAAAAAACTGTTCCCTGTTATGCTGGATCCTAAATTCGGCTCAACTAGCCTGAGATCATTTTCTGGTGGAATCTTTTAAGCGATCAGTGTCTGTTTTCCTGAGGCCTGTTGCACAAAACACCTTGAGATTTCTACTTAAGTATAACAATTTCTCCTTAGCTGAGGGAGTTACTTAAGGATGTTGCACAGAATCTCTTAAAAGGTTTTTTTAATTAAGGAAAAAAAAGTTAAGGCTTTTGCAGCGGTGAAATAGATTTTAAATTCCACTGTTTCCATGGAGACTGTTGTTTTGCTTCCATTAGCACCTCTGAGCGATCACTGAGTGGAGTGATCTAACGCCAGACGTTCAGACCAATCATAAACTGACTGCCGGTCAAATCTGTGATTCCTGCGTTCCTCATTGTTCATGGCGTCCATTTGTGTTCTCCCACTCTTCCTGGGTTGTGTTCATTTTCTTCATCTATCACCATAAACTCAGCCCATGTTGCAGTCAAGATAGAGTCAGAGGTACCTTTAGTTTTTTTTTCCTTTACCTTTATATGAACAACGGTTGGCTCTGCTGTGAAGCTGCAGCCGTCGAGTTAGTTTTAGAGGATGTCGATTAACTTTGGCTGCATTGTTACAACTCATGCAAGTTGGTTATTTTCCTTTCAGATGTTTGTGTCAAAGATTCTGGGTTTTTGTTGTTGTTGTTGTTGTTTACATACACAGAGAGAGAAAGATTGTTTCCTTCAGGGAAGAGAACAAGAGCATCCTCCAACCATCTGTCCTGCAATATGCCTGGACGCCACTCAATATCACACACCAGCACATTCTCTTACTTGGCCCTTTTCAGTCATGTCTCCTCCATGCGAACACGCGCATACAAATCTCTGTGGTGATTGGAGTGCACTCATTGTGACTTTGTTCTGCCAGTGAACACAATCTTCGAGCTGGAGTCCTTCTCTGTACCATATGCTTTTTCAACAGCATGGCTCCCTCTGTACATTATACATCATGCATCTGACTTCTCAGGGGCTGCTCACCTGCTGCTTGCCATTCCATATGTGCCGTTGGGGGGGGGGGGGGGGGGGGGGGGGGGGCTTGAGCTTGTGTTCCTCTTTTGATGCATCCAGTATTTTGACAGTGGATACATGTAGACTCACAGCCGTCAGAAGTGTTGGAAAATCCCCGTAAGAGATCGAAAATGAATGAGATTCAGCTCAGCATGACGGTTGTATCTGTGTGCATCTCTTCTTCTCTGGTGTTCGTAACACTTGACTCCAGACCCCAGACTTCAATTTGTTCTATTCAGCTCTCCAAACAGGAAATTGCTTCTGATGCTTTCTGACAATAATTGCTTGTATTTGTTGGTTTGTTTCCTGTTGTTAGCGGTGATACATGTACTCTCTTATCAGTCCGCATCTGATGACTCCCTGTTATGTTTTCAGGGGGTTTTGTTGCAAGGATGTTTTACAACCAGTGCTCACAAGGCTTTTGTCTCAGTGTCTTAAATGGCAAGTAGTCTCGCTACAGTCTGTAGCACTATTTAGATGTTTTATTAGTGAGTTGTTTAGCCACAGTGATTGAATTGGAAAAGGTAGCAAATGCACTGTGGAATTAATAGATTGGAGGTGTATGGTGATTGGTTAGCTGGAGCGACACAGCCTGCATGCCATTGATCATTCAGCAGCTCAGTGGGATCTATACTGGAGTATACAGGCACCATTCACTGTGTTTGTATGTGTGTTTACTATACATGGATGTGCTAGTTCCAACACTCTCACCACTACTTATCTTATTTAAATTCCTCTAATGATAAATAAAAATCTCAGCATCAAATAAGTAGCACACCCTAACACATCTCCTCAAGAAAAATCTGGCCAACATACGACCGTACCCAATGTGTAATAGCTAATGTGTTATGTTTAATGTGAGTTCAGTGATCGCATGTTTTCCTTGTGAGATACCATCTGGCCGCCCAGTGCACTCGCAGCATTTGAACCAGAGGGGTTTCATCCGGTGGCATAATAGGATGCCTGATGGTGTAATAGTAATTGCCTACAAAATACTGGCACACACACATTCTGGCACACACAGCATACTGAGTGTGTAAATCCATAAATAATATAAATAGAGCAGCGATGACAGACAGTGAAATACATAGTAAATACAGTAGGGATGAAAGTGTCTTGAGTTACAGAAAAATTATGCTTTTAAATGTATCAGCAAATTTACATACGATTAAACCTGCTACAGAAACAAAAAGCTGCCGACAATATATTACTTGTTAATTGGTGGCTTCACTTTCATTAGTGAATATAACAAGCCTCTACCATTGACTGTAAATAAAGATGGACGTGGCCTCCATGACGTCGCCCACAGGTTTCTAAAGAGCGGTTTTGAAGCTCAGAGTGAGCTGCTCATCTTGGCAGTGCCTGACTCCCAGCTAATCCGAAAATGGGAAAAGAGATGGAGGCGTGCGGGGAGCCAAGACTTGCGCATGTCAGTTTAATAACTGTGGCAAGCATCAATAGCACAGCTGGGCGTCTTGCTCGAAGGCTAACCCAAAGTTAATTCATTTGCTGGCTAATTAGCTAGTTAACGAGCTAAGCTAACAAGCCAGGTATGACGAGTACAGACACTGATACCTGCTATTTAGCGTTAACATATGAATAAAATTATACTAAAATTTCAATCACCTCACAAAACAGGAGCACATGTTCTGTTCATCGATTAACCTACAACAAGTCAAATTATCTGTCTGATATTTACATCAAAAATCCTCCAAAGGACACCAACACCACAAACACGGCCGAGAGCTCACGTTCACTGACTGAATTAGCTGAGGTGATGCCGAGCAGACAGCTAGCGGTTAGCCACCTATGATAGCCCCCACCTGTTACTTAAAGTGACCACGCCCTCAATTATGCATAACCTTAAGCCGTAATAAAATGTAGACAGGTGAGTTATATAAAAATTCACCCCAGTACAGTTCTCACGGAGGAGGAAATTAGCTGTAGAGACCAAGAGTGTTTTTTGTACCAGGCTGTAAACATGTTTATGTCTGCTGTAAATTTGGACATTTTAACATGAGAGTCTGTGGGGACTGACTCGCTTTTAGAGCCAGACTCTAGTGTTCATTCGAGGAACTGCAGTT